TTGCTGAGGTGAATTCTTTGTTCCTCGCTGCTCGGCAAATCTGGGTGCGAGCTGATGGAGAAAAGATTCCTTTTGATTAATCCTGTCCACCTGGGAAGAGCTTCAAAAGACTTTGCAGTCCGATGGAAGGACGTGCGTCTCCCAAACATACCTGACTGCTAGTCTTGCTGATGGGTGTTCATTGGACACCCTTTGCATGGTCCAGGTACTCGAACTTTGGATCCTGATGGTCTAAAGAGTGGAAGTTTCTTTTCGGCGTGCTTCGTTATGGACCCGAGCTAAATATATATTACCTGCACGTTTGCAACCACCAATAGAAAAACACGGAATTGATGGGATCCACAGCCCAGCCATTGCGCCCCCCAAAATCAATCAAGGTGCAAAGAGCATCAAAGGTCACAAAACTATATATCTATAAGTGTTTCCCGAATGCGTAGCGAAGGGTTCTCGTTTAACTCTGGGGGTCTGGGGGTAGAGTCTTGTTCGCGACTCATTGTCGTAGCGTGTGCAACTGTCCGCAACCGTTCGCAGTCGCTATGGCGCTCACATGGGCGAATCTTTTGGAGAGGGTTTTGGATGGAAGTATGACGCGTCAGATTCGTGTGAAATAGCGAGGAAACGTGAGAGGATGAAGTGTGGATGATGATTTCACAATTTTCTTCCTTCGTAGTCAGATCGGGATTGGCGTTTTAGAGGGTGGTGCTTTTGGGGTTTTGGATGTGGCTGTGACATTGGGATGCGTTTCAGGCTGTTGCTTCGAAGCTGTGTTTTCGCGACAAGTCTTAGCCAACATGGCGAGCTTTGTGGGCGGGAGTGTTTTCAGAATGGGTTGAAATCATTCCAAACGTGTGGTGTGGTGCAAATTTTGCTGAGGACAACAAGATATGATTCATGATATTGCCACGTTTCGTGGCGGGCACAGTACTTTGTGTGTGGAGGTGTGGAGCTGCAATTTTCGTGGCAGGCACAGATAGTCGTGAGGTTGCGAGGTTTGGTGCGCGTGAATGTCGCTGTGACTTTGGGATTGGTAGGTCCACAGGTATGGGTTGGTGGGGCTGGAATTGTGAAACTGCTTGGCCGAGAGGGCTGCTGGAGGAGAGCGCTTCGTTGAATAATGTTCTGGCCTGTTTGAAGGTGAGTTTCCACATAGTAGCCATGCATGTGTCACCCGTGTGCCTTTGAACTTGTCGTCTCTGACTTGTTTTCCAGGAGGCCCCGGACGCCTCCTACTGGGGGAGAAACCTTGCAGCCTCCCACCAACGTGAGGGGGAGCGCCACGTTCTTTACAGAGATCCTACAGGACAGGTTTTCATGAACGGTCTTCTTTCTCGCTTTCATGTTTGCGCTTAACGCGAAACTTTCTTTCAGATTGCAGCGTCACACCCGATTACTTGTGAAGGAAAAAGACTTGGGCAGACGGTGGCGCGGATCGGCATCTTCTTTTTGATGCCCTTAAATTGGGCCACTTAACTTTTGGAAGCTCGCAGACAAACCTGTTCTAGTTAGTTCATTTTCTTGAATTGCTGAGTTACCTTTTGCTTTGCAAATGTTGAGATGCCAGTGATCAAAGTTTGCGCGACCTGTCGCGCAGAACACTTGGGGATTGTGTGTTTCAAGGGTCATAGGACGATCATGGAAGAGCTTGAGGCTACTCAGAAATGCCTGGCTGCTACTGGCAGCCCTGAATGTACCAAGCAGCAGTGTAGCCTGTGGGTGAAAGGCTCAGCCAAATGAGCCTTGAGCCGAGTGCGGTGGAGTGGGTCCAAACAATCCAGAAAGGTGCCTGGACCAAGGAACAAAAGGACTTGCTTTGGCGCTTTGGAGTTGCCCAAACCTGCTTTGCAGATGCCTAAGATTGTCATGAGGCAACCAAGGCCAAGGCAAAGGGAAAAGCCCAGGCGAAAGCTCAACCGAAAGGAAAAGCAAAGGCCGCTCCAAAGGTCAAGGTGCAGAAAACAGAGGGGTCCGCTCCTGTAAAGAAAGGATGTTGCGTACGGCAAGATGTTCTGCAAAGATACCAACAAAGCGGCCGTCCGCATCAAGAACGGCAAACAGATTTGTAAGTTTGGCTGCTGGGGGCAAGCCAAAGACGATCTGCGCCAGATTGCCAATATGGCCATTGACGCAATGAGAAACGGAACATTGCAGAAAGCTGGCTGCAAAGACTTTTGTGAGGGGAAGGCCGCCCTTCTGGGATAGCACCTTCTTCACCGTCGTAACGTGATTTGTGGGGCAGTGTCGAAGCTGGCAAACACGGAGTGGACTAAACGACCTGTCTTGCAAACATTTGTAGGATGTGTTTCCAGAGCATTGACTGTTCTGCTTGGCTGACAGCAGGCAGCAAGCAAAGGTCACTAATTGAGATAGTGGTGAAGAAGTGCTCAGCGAGCGCTGCGTGAAGTATGCGCCTGCAACTATAGTGGCTGGATGTGGCTAGATCGTCTATAAAGACACCATATATATATACACATACAGTGTCATCTAATGTCATCTAGCAATCTAGCGAAATGCTCGTTTTCGAGACTTCGCTCGTTTCGCAGACTTGACGCATGAGTTTTGGAGGAAGTCTCGCACGCTCGTTTTGGAGACTTGACGATTGAAGCTTTTGAAGAAGTCTCGTGCGAAACGCTCGTTTTGCAGACTTGGCGTGTGACTTTTGGAGCAAGTCTCGTGCGAAACGCTTGTTTTGGAGACGTGACGGTTCACCTCTGGAGACTTTAGTAGGAGTGTCCGCCAAGAGTGTCATATAAGAGCGTCCCAACTGCGTGACATACATTCCACAAGAGTGCCCGACAAGAGTGTCCCACGAGAGAGTCGCTTAATTACAAGAGTGTCCTACAAGAGTGTTCCGCAGCAGTGTCCCACGAGAGTGTCTTAAACGAGAGTGTTCCGCAAGAGTGCCCGACAAGAGTGTCCTACAAGAGTGCTCCGCAAGAGTGTCCGACAAGACTGTCCTACAAGAATGCCCCGCAAGAGTGTCCGACAAGAGTGTCTATACAAGAGTGCTCCACAAGAGTGTCCTACAAGAGTGTTCCGCAAGAGTGTCCCACAAGCGCAAGTCGCTTACAAGAGTGTCCCACAAGAGTGTCATACAAGAGTGCCCCGCAAGAGTGTCCCACAAGAGTGCCCGACAAGAGTGGTCCACAAGAGTGTCGTACAAGAGTGGTCCGCAAGAGTGTCGCGCAAGAGTGTCTTAAGCAAGAGTGTTCCTCGAGAGTGTCCGACAAGAGTGTCCTACACGAGTGCCTCCAAAGAGTGTCCGACACGAGTGTCGTACAAGAGTGTCCTGCAAGAGTGTACCACAAGAGTGTCTCTCATGACTGGCAACACCTCAGAGCTGGCAACTTCAGCCGGGGCCTCAGAACATACGCCACTTGGTAGTGCAAATGTAGTGCGGAAAGCGGCTTCTGGCAGGTGCGGCCTCAGAACTGGCCACTTGCTGGTACAAATGTAGCGCTGGGAGAGCTGCGGCCTCAGAACTGGCCAGTTGTGGCCTCAGAACTAAACGCAATGTGGGAAACAGGTTGTAGGAGCTGTGGCCTCGGAACTACTTGGTCGTACAAATGTAGTCCTGGAAGCGGCTTCTGGCAGGTGCGGCACTTGGTGGTACAAATGTAGTGCGGGAAGCAGCTTCTGAGAGCTATAACCTCGGAACTGGCCAGTTGGTAGTACAATTGTAGTGCAGAAAGCAGCTTCTGGGAGCTGTAGAACTGGCAGCTTTGTAGTGCAAATGTAGTGCGGGAAGCACTTCTGGGAGCTGTGACCTCGGAACTGTCAACTTGTGTGGCCAAATTGCATCTGAGTACGTGAATGTCCCACGAGAGTGTCCCACAAGCGTGGCCCGCAAGAGTGTTGCGCGAGAACAGGTTTCCACAAGAGTGTCTTAAAGCAGTTTTCCAACAAGAGAGTCCCCACGAGAGTGTCCCGCAAGAGCGTTCTACAAGATACAAGAGTGTTTGTCAAACCATGTTTGGGCGTTTGTTTTCGAGTACGTGTTTGCATTCGGGTTCGTGGGCTCCATCTGTTTTTTTCCAACACCCAGTCCTTCAGACGTTCACTTTTGAAGCGCCCTTAAAGTAGACTAAGGTCATTTACAATTTTTTCAATCTTAAGAGCTACACAGTATATAGTTAGATATTTAAGCTTATCCTTCTTTTGTTTCCTCAAGTTTCACCGTAGCACCCTGTTTGCGCGGCCTAGAACTGCCCTGCCCTGCCCGAGGCGCGGAGTGCAGAGCAGGTGGCGGTGCTGTTGGAGGCGAAGGTCGACCTGGAGGGTGCGGCCTTACCAGCACACTTGACACCACTGACGGGTGTGAACATCTATTCCAACGTGGACACTTGGAGGGTTGGAAGGGATGATGCGGATGATGGTGTGGAGATGATGCCCAAGACTTGGGGAAACCAGTTTTAGATCTCTTAGCGATTTTGGAGTGATGCGGTGCGAAATTGTTTGTAAAAACACCAGACTTATATTAACGCACATATTAAAACACACACACACACACACATATATATATGTAATTACCAGACTTTCCAAAAGTCTAAAGAGACCAATGGTTTCGAACCATCCGCCTCATGTGAAATGTGGAATGCTCGTAACAACCTTCCACATGCCATGCTGCTATACGTTCCTAGCGTTTTTGGTTTGGCCGCCCCCCCGATAACTCTGCCTCAGGAGACGGTGGTGGCCTTGTTGGAGGCAAGGTGCGATCCCAACCCCGAGCTCGCAGGCCAGACAGCGCAGTGTTGAGGAAAGGGCAGGGGACATGTTTTTTGTGGCGATCCTTTGGGTCAGGTGTGGTTGTGATAGGCATTAAAACACAACCAGGGTTAATGTGTTGAGGCAGCTTTGGGTTCATTGGAGTATTGAAGTTGATAGAAGTGAAGTTCGGAATACTTTGAACATCATTGAAGCATCTGGCCCGTGTTCTTCAATGTTGTTTGTCAAGTTGTGTGTGTGTCCACACCTGTCCCTAAGGTTTCGAGTCACAAAGGACG